GATAACGTTCGGGGTTCAGACACACTCTCTCTGTTTAAATCTAGATTAAAGACACATCTCTTTGGCCAAGCATTCAAACAATGCATCTCATAATCTTACTGCATTTGATCAAATGCACATTATTATTCCTTAGCTTGGGTTGAACAAATCGTTTTTGCTTGGTTTCCACAACTATGGGAATATATATCAGCTCTGACTATTATGTTCCAGTTGTTCCATTTTAATTTTTTATTAATTTATTTTTGAAACTACTAGCCTATACATTTTATTAGATACTAGTACTTAATTATTATATACTAGTATTTATTTATTAGATTGTACCTAATAAATAGACACTAATCCATACAATTACAAACAAGTATTTATTCATTAGAATATTAGTTGTTATTATTACTGGTCTGAAGATGCTTCGTTACGTTTAAAAGGGTGTATGGAATGTACAGATTGGACTGTTTTTATGGACTCTGGTTCAGACATTGATGAAGTAACAGATGTAATTTGTAGTTAGGCCTATGTGACATTTTGTGAGGATATGTTAATACCTGTGAAATCATTTAGGAAATTTCCAAACAACAAACCGTGGGTTGCAAAATCACTGAAGATTCTTCTGTCATTAAGAAATAGGGCTTTTAAAGAGAGAGTTGAGTATCATAGGCTAACAAGAGAAATGAAGTGTGAAATTAAGAGAGCTAAAGCAGTTTATAAGGAAGATCTTGAGTCAAAATTGTAATGGGAATTCAGGTTCTGTTTGGGAGGGGATGCATTTAATAACAGGTCAGGAGAGTAGGAAAACAAGTAATAGAATTAGTTTGGATGGATTCAGTTCAGACGCAGTTTTGTCACAGGATTTTAATAATTTTTATTTAAGATTTGATACTTTTGATGATTTTAAACAGGAAATTGAGGGTTTGAAAAATGAATGTAGGGTAAACAGGGATCATGATTATGTCTTTTTTAATGTGGGGGATGTAATAACAGTTTTCAAACAGTGTAAAATCAGGAAGGCATCTGGGCCTGACAATATAGGGGGTCGATTACTAAAGGATTGTGCTGAGCAGTAAGGACCAATATTTTATGAAATTTTTGTTCTGTCCCTTCAACAACAAAAAGTACCTGCATGGTGGAAGCAGTCTATAGTGATTCCAGTGCCAAAAAAAAGCATAATGCACAGACATTTGATGATTTTAGACCTGTGGCGCTTACATCTTTAGTTATGAAATGTTTCGAAAAATTAAGAGAAATTATAAGGACACAGAGATCTTTAGACCTCCTTCAATTTGTGTAAACGAGGTGTAGAGGATGCAGTAGTAACTCTTAGTATTTCAGTATTTAAATAAGCCAAAAACATTTGTTAAGTTACTTTTTATTGATTTTTCATTCGCTTTTAACACCATTCAGCCACATATTTTAGTTGAGAAACTTATTAATGAATTTGGATTGGATTTTAATCTTGTAGGATGGATTTTAGATTTTCTTGTGCAGATAATTCAGAGAGTTAAAGTTAATGACTGCTTTTCCGAATGGCTGGTGTCATCTACTGGGTCACCTCAAGGATGTGTCCTCACTCCTTTATTATTTATTTATTTATTTTAAACACAAATGATTGCAGGAGTAGTTTTGGAATTAGGCATATTATAAAATTTGCTGATGATTCTGTAATTGTTAGCCTATTGAGTGAGGAGGACTCTGTGCATGGTCCTGTGGTTGATCATTTTATTGTCTGGTGTCAGAAGGCTTTTCTAAAACTTAATGTTCTTCAGACTAAGGACATGACTATTGCTTTTAGCTCTAGGATGAACTTTATTCAGTATAAGCAAACAAGTATGAATGGACTGGGTATTGAGAGTGTTGAACAGTACAAGTATTTGGGTACTGTCTAAGATAATAAATTGTCCTTTTCTTCAAATACAGAGATTTTGTGTAAGAGGCGGGGGCAGCAAAGATTGTATTGTTTGAAATGTGATATATGATGTCTTATTTGATATGCTTGTATGCTGCAACCAAATTGCCTTCAGGAAATTAATAAAGATGAACTGAACTGAACTGAACTTATTCATTAGATCAGGGCTGTCCAAACTCGGTCCTGGAGGGCCGGTGTCTTGCAGAGGTTAGCTCAAAATTGCCTCAACACACCTGACTGGAAGTTTCTATGCCTAGTAAGAGCTTGATTAGCTGGTTCAGGTGTGTTTAATTAGGGTTGGAGCTAAACTCTGCAGGACACCGGCCCTCCAGGACCGAGTTTGGACAGCCCTGCATTAGATATACTTATTGATTATTCAGTAGATACTAGTACTTATTCCAAATGTAAGATTTTTACTAGTAAGATTTTTAATTGAACTCTACAGGCTATTCTGACTAGTTATGGCATAAGGCAGGTAAAAAAGCAGGTGTGTATAACAAGATTTGTTACTAGTAACAATTACAAAAGGTACTAGTGTCTAATAAATAATTACTAATACATCATGAATAACTAGTATCTATTAAAATATGTACTAGTATCTAATGAATACTTACAAGTAAAATTTAAAAAGGTACTAGTCACAATTGGAATACATACAGTCAGAACTGAATAGTTGATTTCTGAATGACAGATCCTCATAATGGCTTAAAATTTGAAATGTTAGTTACAGCAGAATAGTCACTAGTAGTCATTATACTGAAATAAGTATTAGTGTCTAATAAATAAGAATTAGTATCTAAGGAATAAACAGTATCTTTAAAAAGTTGCTAGTACCTAAAGAATTAGCACGAGCAACAAAAGAATAAGCACTAGTAGCTAATGAATAAGTAATGGAATAGATAGCCTATACTAGTAGCTAAAAATAAGTACTAGTAGCATGAAAATAGACACTAGAACATTTTAAAGATTACATGTTAACCCGGCTTGCCATATTGTGATTGCTGTGGATTTCCATTTGTATGTAAAATACCAAATTTGGGGATTCATTAATTAAAACGATTATACTTTTTGGAACATAAATGTAAGACCAAAAAAAAAAAAAAAGTCGTGTCTTACTGTATTTTGTATTTGAATGTGACTCAATGGAAGATTGTGCAGATGCGCCAAGCGCCTCCTGGAGGAATAAACTCACTTACATTACACAGGTGTTAATTGTGCATACATGTTTTTTTTTAGTTATTATTATTATCATCATCACTATTATTATTATTATTATTATTATCGTTACCTTTTGAAACTTAAAAGGGTTCAATTTGAGCAGATTATTTTACCATCGCTGTCATCGTCAGAGCGCACTTCCACAGTATTTTCAACATCTGCCTCATATTCACGATCTTAGCCATATTCTCAAAACTATCATTTTCAATGACTTCAAATGCAATATTTTGATCACTGGCAGCTTATTCATCACATCCAGCATCAAATGACAGTGACATTTATATTTCATTGCGTATAGTAATTGCTCTGCAGTAAAGCCATTCAAACCAGTTCAATTTTTGCTGATGATATTCGTTTGTTTTATGCCTGCGGTAATTATGAGTGAAACTTCACGTCATCATTGTATATCAAACAGTGCCACCTTGAGGAAAAAGAGATGCATTGCACATATTGAGTCATCAGATATGTAAATATAGTTGCGCAGGAAAAAATACTTTACATACCTCTAGCGACCCTATACACTTTTTACAAAAAAGTAATCAGAAAACAGGCATTCTTTTATATTTTACTATTTTTTTCTTGTTATATTGTTTATAATTAATAGATTGAGGAATACTAAGAAAGTTGATGTCTAACTTAAAAAAAGGAAGGAGGGAGATGTCCCGGGTCGCTAAAGACCCGAGGTATGCATTTAAGGGTTAAGAGACAGACTAAACAGCAACATTTTTTGTATAAAACCCAAACAGTTGCTAGTAGCCATTGTTTTTCCATATGGAAGTCAGTGGTTACTAACATCTGTTTGGACATTCTTCAGAATATCTTGTTTGTGTTGAACAGAAGAAAGAAATTCATACAAATTTGAGACAACTTGAGGGTGAGTTAATGTCATTTTTGGCTGAACTATCCCTTTAAACATGCTCCTTCTTTTTGCTGCAAACTGGAATTTCACCAGCAGAGAGCAGTATAATACAGGATATGTTCGTCATGAACATGTGCAGTATACACTGCCTACACTACCCATTGTGTACCATTAGGTATACTACCTAACATTTTTGGTAGTACGTGCAACAGTAGAAATAAAATGCATTTGCATTTAGCTATCTGATCAAATAATGAGTAAATAAGACAATTGCTGGCATTACTTCAGGTTCATTTATAACATAAAATGGAAGGTCAAGTTGTTGCATTGCACAGTATTAAGTGCAGTGTGCTCTCTTGTAAGCCATCCAGATATTCCATGCATACAGGAAAATTACATATTGTGCAAAATATACTGTAGGCTACATATTATATACTGCAGCAATAGTAAGTGTAGTATTTGGATGTAACATCACAACCTGAATGGTTCAAATGTCTTTTAAAGATCTGTCTTAAAAGTCCAACAAATGTTAAAAATGGAAAAGTATACTATTTTATTCCATGACCACTCATAAGTCATCACTTCAGAATCCAGAATTAGCTGCTGAAATTACCTCTGTTTTCATTGATTTTACAAAGACAATTAGCTAATCATTTCCTGAATACACTGAAGTGAAGTCTGTGATCTGAAGACATATATGTGTTATTAATAGAGGAGGTCAGTGAAGCCCAGACTCAAGGCCATTACATGTTTCCTCAGTGTCTGGAACTTGGGCTGCAAAAGAAAGGTAATTAAATCTCCTCCTCCATTATGAACATTTCACTGATGACGGGGGTCTTCATAAAGGAGGTTAATTATGAGCTCTGACAGGGTTCGTCTCACTTCATGAAAGGAGGCCTTTTGTCATCTTTATCTGGATTGGTCTACCTTCCTCATTCAAATACTAGAGGAACAGGGTCATTTACAGAGAGAGTACAATAACTGAAGTGCTTTATTTGAAGAGTAGTTAGGCTTCTCGTAAACATTACACAAAAGAAATTACACAGTGCAAATCTAGAATAACATTATTTACAAACAAAAATACTGCTAAAAATACAGAAATAGTAACGAATTATAGAAGTGTCAAAATTGTGCGTGTTTATGGATTTACGTTTTTTTAAATGAATTATACTGACACAAAAAGGCTGTTATTTAAAAATAAATAAATAAAATAAAAAAACAATAATGAAGTTGTTATACTTAAAAAATGGGCAATGAAAAAAAAAATTGATTTAACATAGATTACATGAAAAACAATATACACACCTTTTTTTAACAAATATTGTATATATTATAGATATGCAAGATAATGATTTTTATTAAAAAAATACTAATATATATTTAGTGAGATATACTTACAAAAAATTCTAATGCACATATCAAAATACACGTTTAAAATATATGATCTTAAAAGTAATATCTTAAGAAACTTCGACTCTCAGTTAATTTTAAAGATGTTCAGATTTTTCTGAAAAAGTGGTTTTTATTGCAGTGCTTTCAGGTACTTTTTACTCTTTAGTTATGTCATTAAAATTTGTTCACTTTATATGGCTTTACTGCAATCATTTTTTACATTTATTATTTATTTAAGTGTAATGCCAGTTTAATTAATTTTAACACATTTTCTTTGGGTCCAAACATTTTGTGACCTGAAATCATCTGGTCTTTAAAGACAAACACACATTTTTATTCCACAACACCATTTACCAATTTATCATAACTGCCCTCAATTATAATGATTTCCACATGAGCATTCCCTCTTTGCCATCGCCAGCATCTCGTTCTGGGCATTTGGAGGGCAGAAAATGCGTATAAATAGTACGCCAAATAAAAACGAAAACTCGTGGTATTGATACGCAAAAATTGACTTTGGCGTGCATATGATACCCATGTGTTTGGCGTGCATATAATACGCAGTTTTCGCGTACATATGAGACGCATCTACCCCACAACCCTAAACCTACCCATCGCGTAGCATATACACGCCAAAGTCCATTTTTGCGTATCAATACCACGAGTTTTCGTTTTTATTTGGCGTACTATTTATACGCACTTTCATGAGATCGGTTTGAACTGCCGCACCATAAAACATGTGGTTTATTACTCATTACTGGGTCACTGCGAGTCAATGGATGTGTTAGTAAAACACACAAAAATAACACGACATCAGCCGGCTACAAATACACCATTATACTTCTATGTCCCACTTCATATTAATAAAGCTTCCTATTGCTTTTATGGCCATTTTAATTACGTCTGTTTGTCTTCCTGTTCCCATGAGCCCCGTGCATGGATGCAGTCCATTTCAAATGCAAGACATGGACCATAAAACTCAACCACCAAAATATAAAATTGGATTTGAATGCAAGTGGCTGTGTATTAGTCTCACTGCTCCATGATCTCGAATGTAAAATATAACAAAGCTTGGAACAAAAATATACATTTTAGTGGCGATATCAAATCCTTTATTCAGAGGACAAACAAAGGTTTATATAACCAATTTAGGATGTAACATTTGGGATTTATAAATGTTTTTGAAAGAAGTCTCTTATGCTCACCAAGGCTGTATTTTTTAAATCAAAAATACAGTTAAAACTGAAAATTATTTAATTGTTTAAAACATTATTTCAATTTAAAATTATTGTTTTCTTATTAAAAGGTGGTTTAGCACTCCTTTTTTTCTCCAAAACATACAACTCGGACACATAAACCAGTGCATTTGTGTAGCTTTTACAGCGAAACATTGAAAAACGGCAAATTGTTACCATGCTCCAAACCGGCAAAGAGTTCTGCATCAGCCCTTTTAAAAGTTGATGGGTCATTTACTACAGATGGGACCCCCTGAACAGAAACAAGAAGCTAATTGGCTTTAACCAACTAACTGCAGGCAACACCAGACCAAAGAAACAAACATACCCATTAGATAAAACGGCTTTTATTGTCATTCACAAGTCCCGTTTCTGCCGCCCTTGGTAAAACAGTGTTCCAAGGATAATGACACACAAAAGTCCAATTGCAACCACCAAACCAGTCATGAGCATCAATTCGATGGAGAACTCTAAAAAAAAAAAAAAAAAGGTGAAAAGTAAGGGTTATGACAAAGACCTACATCATTACAGCGTGGACCCAAAAAGTATTTGGACTATTAAGTCACTCTTAATGTGGCTAACACTTTTTCAATTATTTTCTACCAAGTGGTCTCAAGGTGATTTTTCACAGAAGCAAATCCATGATTAAAGTAGCAATAGTTCACTATAACATGTTCCAGGAAGTCTGACAATTATAAAACGCACAAGACTCGTCTAAATTCAAGCAAAATGCACTACCATGAGAGTTTAGGGTCTGTAAGATTTTAGAAATAAATAATTGTATTCAGTAAGGACACATTAAATTAAAAGTTGAACTTCTTTGAACTTGAAGTGCCATGTTAATGTTTTTAACATTCTTTCTAGATAACATGCTTTTTTAAACAGTCAACATACAGTACCTTTCACAAGTTTGGGGTCAGTAATTTTCCTAAAAGAAATTCAGCAAGGACACATTAAATCAAAAGTGTCAGTAAAGACATTTGTAATATTATTCATATTTAATATTTGTATTTGTTTTTGTTGGTGTGGTTTTAAACATGCTATTGAAAGAACCCTGAAAAAAACAAATGTTTCCACAAAAATAAGCAGCAAAAGTGTTTAACTTTTTTTTTTTTAACAATCAGCATATTAGAACGATTTCTGAAGAATCATGTGACACTGATCACTGGAGTAATGATGCTGGAAAGGAAACGTTTTATAATTACCAATTTCTAATGTTTTTATTAAATTGTAATCACGTTAAAAAAAAATTCAGTCCCATTAAACATTTTATTAGCCTACATGACACCCATGTCTGGTTCTTGCCTAAAAAGACGGGTTTATGATGTTTGTAGTTAATAGATTTGGCTGCTTTTAGACTTACCCTGGAGTTGGTCCACCCTCCGCCTATGTTTAAATGACAAAATATTTGTGATTAAATCAATGCAGCCAGGGTGAGAATGAGAATCGAAAAAATTCATCAAATTTAAATCGTATCAACCCCAAACGTTTGAATGGGAGTGTACATTTTGGGGACACGGTACACTAAATGCATCATATTTGTCAAGGCAATATGGTCACCTGCATGTTGTGATGACACCCGAGAAGACTCTTGAATTTGCAGTAAATGCTCATCTTCCATTGGTAGCCATTCATGGATAAAAATCGGTCCAATAGTAGCCTCATCTTCCAACGTGGAATCTAAAAAAAATAAAAAAAATAAATAAAAACCATGCAAAAAGGATGGAAACTGCATTCTCAAGTTGCACAGCAGTAGTTTACAAATTTCCAAACACATTTGGATGGAGTTAAGTGTGGAACAATACCGTCAGTATCCAGACTTCTGCCCTTCCTCATGGCGCAGCTGGTCTCACAACAGCCACACACCTGATTGTCTCCATTCACAGCAGTCCAGCTGTGTGAAAAAAAAAATCTAATTCAAATCACTGAATGTTGAACCGAGACTTCTAAACTTGCTTCCAACATTACTTCACCCATACCTGTTTGTTTCTTTAACAAATGAGCAGGCCTTGTTCATTGTATCAATGGGACTGGATGTGGTAGTAGCCTTCAAATGACAAGTGATGTAGATCTGGGTGGAAATGGTTAATTCAGATGAACAGATGGCTGATCTGGACCAAGTGTAAATGGAACAAACTGTACAGTAAAGGCCCCAATATACTCACAGCAAAGTTAGTTTTCATTCTTAACTTAGAGATAAGAAGTTTGAAATACCCGAGCAGGAATATAGTGGTAGCATAAACATCCCGTTTAGTTGAATATGTAAATGTCTTAAGCACTTTCCTCTTAATAACGAAATAAAAACAGCAGTTAAGAAAGCATCTGATAGTAGTGATGTGGAAATGTTTGCGCCAGCTTGGCAATTCAGCACTCTAATCATGTTATGTTTATTTATAAGGCACTTTATTCACTAGATTATTTTAAAGCAAGCAGCTTTAAAATAATCTAGCTTCAATTCTCTGTGTGTATGTGCTGTACATGTGGAAGAATTGACAATAAAGCAGACTTGACTTGACTTGACTTGACTTATAGTAATATACATTGTAAGTGTTGCTTTCAATTAGAATTGCAGCTTCAGTTTTTACTAGAACACATTGAAGAGATGCTTTAATGTTTTTACACGTGTCCGATCTTGATAGACTGAACAGAAGACTGAACAGAAGAAACAAATCAGACAAGATGTCCATGTCAAAGGTGGCGGAGCCCCAGTACCTATTACGTAATTGCTACAGATCAACAGTAATCGCTAATGGTAGTTTGAATGTGTACCAGACAGAGCAAACTTTTACAGAAAGTTTGCTTTTGGAAAGCGGCTTCAAATTAGTTTTGGTCTGATTTTGTTACTTGAAGTATATTGGGGCCTTAATGGACTCACCATTCCGCTGGAATCTTGCTCAAATCTGAATGCTTCTATCTGAAATTGTAACTTGTCATCCTGTATCCTGGACATGAAACTGGACCTGGACTCTGTCAGCTTGGCATCCATCATGCATCTCAAGATTGTAGTTAACAGCTTAACTCAACAATGGCACAATAGTAGTGCTCAAAAGGTCTGTCTGGAAAAGTCACTCACCCGCTGTTCTCGATGAACGTGTAGATGGTGGCAGCTTCCCCACTGGGGCCCAAAGTAGCTGCACAGCTTTCCACAAACATCCGCAGAGGAACGTGATTAGCACGGACCACTGAGGCTTCCAGGTTTATGAAATCTCCCAGAAAGTAGGCATTAGATGATCGCTCATACCTCCAGTCATCTGTAGGACAGGTTAAGACCGTTAGATGAACAATTTCAACACAAGAACACTAAAAGACTCCTTACCAGTCATGAGTTTGAGGGAGAAGTGCAGATGTTCTTCGCCAGCTCTCACTGCAGCATAGGGAAACCAGGTGGGATTCAATGCATTACTACTCGCATTGTGTTTCCTGAAAAAGTTAGAAGAAACCACATACAGCATCTGGAGAACCAGAGTAAGATTGACAGCTTTTTAATGCCAATTGAATATTCTTACAATGCTATGACTTAAGATGTAAATATTGATATTAAAAAGTACATTCATGTAAAGTAATATAAAATAAATATTTGAAAGGGAAAAACATGATTTGGAATTCCCAAAACTTTCACTTTATTCTTGTAAAAGGCCTATTATGAGCCGAGTCCCAAAACATTATGACTTCTTTTCTCAATCTTGCATTTGTTTTGCATTTTAACATGGCACTAAAATGCCATGTTAAAGTATAAACTAAAATCTGGTTGTCAGGTTACCATGTTAGTTTAAAAGGTTTACCTCGGGTAGATGCAATGAATTTCAACCATAGCTTCATTAGTCTTCACAATAGGCGTGTTAAGAACAGGTGAAGGTGAATACACCAAAACAAATGAATAAACAAGTGAATCCTCAGTCATCTGAAAAGAAACTGTGGTCCACAAACAAATATTAATAAATATTAAAACACTGTTCATACATAAAATTAAAATAATCAAAGTAGTAAAAGACAATAAATTAGACAAAATAAATTGAATTAAAAAAAGACAAAAAATTCAAAAATAAATAAAATTGAAAAAAATAAAATAAACATACTACAAGAAATACAAAATAAAGAAATCTATTGATAAAAAAAATAAAATAAACAAACCCCCAAAAAAAAAAAAAAGATATATATATCATGATCAACTAAAAATAAAATAGAAAGATAATAAAAATAATAATAATAATAATAAAAGATAAAATCATGTGCACGTTATGGTGCCCCTGGATAGCCACACTTCTAATTCAGGTGACAGCAAACATTTTAATGTGTCAAAGAGCATCATGGGCAAGTGCCATTTTAGACAAGTCTTAGCAGGATCACAACTAGAAAACAGTAAACAGCTGGAGAAACCATGCTTAAGAGGACATACAGTACCATTAATGTGCTCCCACATCCTTGTAGCTCTGATTCAAAGGCAACAATCCTGTCCTGGTCATTAAATCCAACAGATGGACAACCACCCAGCATCATATCAGAGGGGTTGATGAACTGATTGTTCCCCAAGAAATATTGCTTCACCTGCACTTTGACGGAGACCTCTCCACACTGAACATCCACAGTGTTTGCCGGCACTGGCACCTTGGGTTCAAACTCTGGCTCCAAAACCACCTTATCCTTCACATCAGGATAGAGGTCAGGACCAGGAAAGGGATTCTGGAATCCCTGATGGGTTTGTGAGAAAGTCTCAACCATTTGTTGGGGTTTTATTAATCCAAAATGTCCTTGGCTTTGCAAAGGCTTGCTAGGTTGAAGGGGCATAGATACGTAGTTGGTTCACTGGGATTGTACTTGCACTGGTATCTGGACAGACTCTTGTGATGGAGGTCCCACCATTGCTGAGGCAGGTCTCCTGAATTCAATGAGGTTTTGAAACATTTTGGATGCTACCGCGCTCTGACCGGTCTGTGCACGCCCTTGCGCTGGCATTGGATGTCTGAAGACGGCATTTTGACTAAAGCCTTGGTCTAAAGATGGTTCCCCTTGACTCAATGGCTCAGAACAACACAGTAATCCACATGAAACTATAAAAATATCAACAACCACTGATTTTCTTCCCATTGGTGGTCTCTCAATGCGTTCCTTTGAGTTCTCAAAGGATATAACAACTTCCTATCACTCTTTAATGTTGGTTGGCTGGAAAGGTCAGGTTCAAATTTAACTCCGCCCTTTTAAAGTTCCCTCCAGCCCATGCCAATCAAAATGCTTTAGAGCTCTATTCTGCTCTATAACTGCTGTCAACTTTACAGACATGTTTCACAACGTACTTTTCACAACACTTTTATCTGATCACATGACAACATGAGGAAATGAATGAAAAATATATTAAAACGTATGTACAGTACTGTCATCATTATGCCAAAAAAGAAATAAAACAAACAAACCAATAAATAAATAAGTACATAAAAATACCAGGGTTTTGACAGAAAACATTGGGAATTTATTTTAAAAATACACTGAAATGTTATTTAAATTAAAATTGGATGATTACTTGTCATCATTAAAAAAAAAATTATAATTACATAAAGAAATACGATTCATTTATTTTAAATATGGACATTTATAATTATATTTTAAGAGCTTTCACCAGATCATTGAATTAAAATATATTAAAATGGGATGCATTACTTGTCATCATTAAAAAGGGCTCCTTTATACTTAAATTTAGTTTACTTAAAATATGTATATACATATTTTGAACTGTAATACAAGGGTTTCACCAGATAAAATATTTAAAAGATATTATTATTTATATCATAAAGAAATGAAGCTCATTTCTGTTAAATATACTTTATATGTACATTTGTATATGGATAGCGGGCCCCGCGCTTGAGGGTCATGCTTGATTGTGAACAGACTGAAGGGGAACCCCCCCCCCCCCCCCCCC